TTTGCGAATTTAATTTATTCGGTCGTAGTTTAAACACGTCAATACTAGCAAATGAAAGTAAATGTTTAAAGATGCCCCCACTCCTATTTCCGAAAAGGCTCATGAATTTAGGCCCAATTCCTTTGAACGAGTAGTTATTTGCCACTTAAACAAGAAGCATTTTTGGCCAAATTCTATCACATTGGAATTATTTTGATAAAATGAGTGGTTACATTTCTGGTCATTTTTCTGCAAGGTCAAAGCATTCTTTTTAAAAGACCACAAGGTCATTGATACTAACGATTTTGCGCTCTGTTCGCGTATTGTTAGCAGCCGTTCCGATGGTTGCAGAATGTTTGTTTTTAAAAATTAGCAGGAATGCTGGTTGCTTCTTTGCAGCCATTCAGCATCACTGACTTCTGTACACTGAGCGGTATTACTAACGTTGTTCTACCTATTTTTTTTTAAATTGCCACATTGACATTAGGGCTTGAAATAACTTCGCTAGATGCGTTCACGCGACTTACGTGTTTACAATGCCAGATGGCGATCATGGTCTCAGTGACTACCTCACCAATGGTCTGCGCAGTGGACTTTTGAAATGGTGTGAAGTAAACATTTAAAATAATTGACTGCTTGGGGCAAAAACGATGTCTTTTCTTGGGAATTTCTACTGGTCAACGAAAGTCCTGCTTTTGGCAATATAATGAGGTCTCTAATGAAATATTGAATCGTAGATAAACGCAAGAGCTATCGCTGCAGAGCATACGCATTATTTCATCTACCTAAAATAATATTTAAAAAATGGTGGGAATAATTAAATAAAAAATTCGAGCAAATATATGCCCAGAACTTTTAAATTTGTATGGCATGCTTTACAAGCAAAAGGACTTGTGATAGCTAGCGACTGACCTTCTACTGCTTTCATTTGAATTCGACCAAATGAGCAGTTGTTTCTGCTTCATTTCTCAGGACAAGCTTAGCTATATGACACCCGTTCCCAGTTCATGGCGTTTATTTCCAATAATATGTTAGATTCAACACTTTTGTTTGCATGTGTCACTCTCTATCCAAATTTAATTACTCTTCCAATTATTGCAATCCAGCTTTGCATCATTTCATGTTAGTATAGAAGAATGAAATGCATCCCCTAAGACATTGATTGCTTCAGATAAGCCTCTTGGGCGTTTTATCAGCTCTCAAACGATAGACGGAGATGGAAGGTTTGATAGGCCGTGATTGGATTCACCGGTAGAATTGGTGATAAGATGAAATGAGTGATGAACACAAGAGTGGCCCATGATACTCATTAACAAAAATTTCATTAAATCCACGCTTAGGTAGTGGAAGTTGGTCTGAGAAAGTCACAGCTGTTGAAGACGGTGTTAATGATAAGGATGAGAGGGAAACGCGAATATGGAGAACCTTGGTTTGCAACTCTGGCTCAGTCATCCACATTTGCATTGAATGCTGTTAGAGAAATCTCATTTATGGGTACCGACCTCAGCGCACCACTTATACTCCTATTGTGCTTGTCACGATGGAGGAATAAATGCTAATAAATTTCAAGTAAAATAAAAAAAGTGCTA